GGTAAGAGCTGGCCAATAGACTAGGCTCCTTGGGGAGAGTATGAGTTAGACTACAGTAAACGCCTCCTTCAACTCTATTTTTCAGTTTAGAGCCATCTGGCCGGAAGTCCTCCGACCCATAATCCCGTTATCAAAAGTGAGCACCAGTGATGCACGTGAGAGATGTTCTTTCCACTTGAATTGATTTTTCCTCTACCTTTTCCTTTTCTACCTCAAAGTTATCATTGAGTCGGATATTCACAGTGTCTAGATAGTGTATTAGGTTTGGGGACATACCCTATATTTAGCTGATTTATCGTCTACAAAAAAGGCAATTTTGGCCTAACGCACGCGACAAGCAATCTGAGGTTTTGGGTTTTAAAAGTTGAGCTAAGACTCGTATTAACCAATTTGTAGCTTCTCTACCACTTCCAAGTTCAAAGTCGCGCATGCCAATTCCTGTAGAGACGAGGAAGAGGTAGAATACATTCATCAGTTTTTGTGTGAATATTTTTCACTTCGAAGAATATGTTTAAGATTTTTGTGGGATCATTCAAACTTTGTAATGATGACATACCTAAGCCTGCAGGTACGTTGTGGTACCGTTTTGGCAAAAAAAAATGTTTCATTAAAATAGTTGCGAATATTATATTAGAACAAGGTGTACACTAACATTTGACACTGACTGTACATATTTAGCAAGTATGTACACTTCGTGACGCTGAGGGTTCAACTAAGTTAGTCAAGGACATGTACAATCAAGGTTTGACCGATTACTTTGTCACCGGTTGAAGGTAGACTGTAGGGGCTTTTTAAAAGGCAAACTTATGTTTGCTTCGTTATTGCGCGTGATTCAATTGGAAATAACCAGCAAGGAAGTATCAGAAACCGGCTGCAAGCAAGCAATTCCTTTTTAAAACTACTTCTTTTTTTAAACATTTTCATATTTTTCCATGTATATGAACAATCACTAGGGTCTATAAACGTTTATACCTACTAGTGCGTTTATTCAGCAGTCATCAGCGACATCAACCTTCACAGCCATTGAAGTAACTGTAGTTGAAACCACTGCGGTTTTGTTAAAATCTTCGCTGGGGGATTTTCCACTTTTAAAACTTTTAATTTGATGCTTAATTTTTTTTTTTTATATATATTTTTTGGGTTTTTGCTCACCGAATCTTGCGCCGCCACCGCCATTGAGATGATTTACCGGTATCTCTGCACTTATCATTGCCATCTTATTGCTGCTGTTGTAATTTTATAATTTTTTTTTTTCGTACCTCTTGTTGGTGTATGTATATGTGAAATGCAAACTGGTCGTACCAGTAAATATAATTACTTGCATTCACTTGTAACTGAGATTTGTGGAAAATCGTTATTGACAAAGTCACAGTTGAAGCGGTGCGACGAGTTTAAATACTTTTTTGAAAGCAAATAAAATACAAATAGCTTGCACTTAGCCGTAGCACAGACGTTTGCAGCTCACGAAATTAAAAAGGCATTGGTGTTGTATTACAAAATGCGATTTATATGTATGTTAGTAAAAAATATCGGCTGCATAGGCATAGAGAATTCTTGATGCATGCACATGAATTAGGTTATGTAAAAGGGCGCGCGGAAAATGTAGACTAGCGGAGCGAAAATTGTTTGCCGTTATGAGTACACAGTAACTCGTCCATGAATGCACCACAGAAATAGTTACTTTTCCTCAATATTCTGTTGCATTTATTTTTTGATATGCTTCAGATTACAAATTTGACTTTGATAAGATTTTTAGCACACAGCACAGCTGGCACTTTCACTTGCTATTCTTGAAGCAATTAATAAACTTTGTATAACAGTACATCACCCAATTTAATTACACAGTATGCATGCAATTAAAAATACCGTTCGATTCTTATTTGTTTTAGTTAACAACGTTTGTTTTTTTTTTATTTTTTTTTGTGTATTGGAAACCGTTTTAGACGAACCGCCACGAACGACCTTCGCTCCTCAACTGTGTGACTCACGTGAGTGCGTCAATGTTTTATGCTAACATTTCTGCTGACTTACCCACTAAAATGTGGGTGAAATAACAATAACATATTAATGTTTACAAACTGGCATGCTATTGGCATCTTTTGAGTGGAAAGCGGCATATACATATATATGCACATTAGAGTGGTACAAGTAAAGTAAAGTAAAGGCGGAAATTTAATGCTCTCGCTCTCTAGGATTGGTCTTCATTGAAAAAAAAATCGACTCCTATTATTTTATTTTGAAATCAAAAAAATATTTAGANCGAAATAACAATAACATATTAATGTTTACAAACCGGCATGCTATTGGCATCTTTTGAGTGGAAAGCGGCATATATATGTATATGCACATTAGAGTGGTACAAGTAAAGTAAAGTAAAGTAGAGGCGGAATTTTAATGCTCTCGCTCTCTAGGATTGGTCTTCATTGGAAAAAAATCGACTCCTATTATTTTATTTTGAAATCAAAAAAATATTTAGAGGTCGCTCAAAGCGCTCAAAGTTTTCCATGTATTTTATATGGGAAAAAACATTCTTAGTAATGGTAACGAATTCTGGAAAATCAATATTTACCCAATACCCAATTGCTTATTTAACCATTTTTTAATACTAACGATTTTTTATTGATGCCCCACTGCACTTTTTTTTGGGTTTTTGGCGGACTTATAAATTACAGTTACTATGAGAAAATGGTTAAATACATAAACAACTTTGTATTACTATTGGGAATCTCCTGCAGAGTTTTCCGGTCGAAAAATATTGATTATTAAGAATTCTTTACCATTCCTACAAAAAGTTGTTTTTTTTTCCATATAAAATACATGGAACTTTTGAGCGTTTTGTCAGACCTCTAAATATTTTTCGATTTCAAAAAAAAAGTAGGGGTATATTTTTTTACGGTATAGAAGAATCCATAGCATAAAAATTCCGACTTTACTTTTTCACATGCATTATTGGACCACCCTAATGTACATACATACATAGCGCTATGCTGGTGGCCATGCCATGATGGGTATATGTGTTTGTTTGATTTTTGGCGGTCGAACTACATGTGTACATTAGGGTTGTAAAATTTTTTCTTTCAATTGCTATAAAGTCATTAAAAATTAATATTTTATGTTCGAATAAAAATATGACCCTTCAGAAATCTGCAAACAATAAAATTATAATGCATATTTAACTTTAAAATGTTACTAACTAANTCGGTCGAAAAATATTCATTATAAAGAATTCTTTACCATTCCTACAAAAAGTTGTTGTTTTCCATATAAAATACATGGAACTTTTGAGCGTTTTGTCAGACCTCTAAATATTTTTCGATTTAAAAAAAAAAAGTAGGGGTATATTTTTTTACGGTATAGAAGAATCCATAGCATAAAAATTCCGACTTTACTTTTTCACATGCATTATTGGACCACCCTAATGTACATACATACATAGCGCTATGCTGGTGGCCATGCCATGATGGGTATATGTGTTTGTTTGATTTTTGGCGGTCGAACTACATGTGTACATTAGGGTTGTAAAATTTTTTCTTTCAATTGCTATAAAGTCATTAAAAATTAATATTTTATGTTCGAATAAAAATATGACCCTTCAGAAATCTGCAAACAATAAAATTATAATGCATATTTAACTTTAAAATGTTACTAACTAATTTTTCATAAAAATTAGTTATTTTATGCGTTCGTAACCACAACACGCACGTTTTGAAAAACTGTTATTAAAATTTTTTTTAGTTAAATTTGCATCACAGTTCTAACGTTAGAAGATTTCTGATAGGAAATATTTTTATTCGAACAAAAAATCTTTATTTTCAACGATTTTATAGCAATTCTACGAAAAAAATTATTTTCCTCGAAATAAAATAAGTGGAAACTTCAAAGCCCCGGCGCACAGTGTACGATTGGGGAGTATCGATGAACAAAATCGGAAATCTCTAAATAGGAGTAAGAAAAAAATATGGAATCGAAAGCTAACATAATGGCCTACAACGGGAAAATAATGCCATTATAAAATCATCTTTTTAATATGATTTTTCAGATTTTTTATCTGACTGCGGCGCATTTATTTCATATAAAAAAAAAAAATAAAAATTCTCGAATATACTTTGTGTTGAAGGAAACGAGTTAAAAAAATTGCCAAAAATCACCGCTATAAAACTTCACACTCAAANCTTCGTAACCACAACACGCACGTTTTGAAATACTGTTATTAAAATTTTTTTTAGTTAAATTTGCATCACAGTTCTAACGTTAGAAGATTTCTGATAAGAAATATTTTTATTCGAACAAAAAATCTTTATTTTCAACGATTTTATAGCAATTCTACGAAAAAAATTATTTTCCTCGAAATAAAATCAGTGGAAACTTCAAAGCCCCGGCGCACAGTGTACGATTGGGGAGTATCGATGAACAAAATCGGAAATCTCTAAATAGGAGTAAGAAAAAAATATGGAATCGAAAGCTAACATAATGGCCTACAACGGGAAAATAATGCCATTATAAAATCATCTTTTTAATATGATTTTTCAGATTTTTTATCTGACTGCGGCGCATTTATTTCATATAAAAAAAAAAAATAAAAATTCTCGAATATACTTTGTGTTGAAGGAAACGAGTTAAAAAAATTGCCAAAAATCACCGCTATAAAACTTCACACTCAAAAAAAAAAAATCTGAAAAATCTGATTAAAAAGTTGAAAATTTAGATGCAACTTTGCTATTTAAAATATGACCACCCTAAAAGATTTTTAGTCTACTTTTGACAACAAACTTTAATGCCTGGTTTGAAAATCTACAAGAAACGTTCATAAAATCAAAAGCCAAAATTTTTTGTTGGACCTAGCCAGCACAATATTATTTTTTTTTCGAAAGTTCTTTTTTCAACGAAATTTATTGGGGGCTGAATATAATGATATACATATACATATATATCCCTATTTTTCTCTTGTAGCCATTATGCCAGCTTCGGAACCCCAATTATTCCATATGTTTATCTTATTCCAATCCAGAAAATTTACGATTTTGTCCATCGACACTCGCAAATCGTATGCTGTGCGGCGGAACGGTAAATTATTAACCAATTTCGAAATAAAAATGTAATACTGGTCTCCTGTTTTTCTATTTTCTACAAAAAAAAAATAAATGAAAAAGTACTAATGGACTCCTTTTTTCCAATTTCTATAATTCGGGGGAATGGCAACAAAAAAGTTAAAAAATTTTATTTTCCTGTGTATTTTTTTACCACCCTAATACACATTCTTACTCGTTTGTATCTCTTCCGGAAATGCATTATTAACTTACTAGCACATCTACATACATTTGTATGTTTATAACTACATATATTGTGCAAAATGTAGGCAGGTTTGTGGTTGAGGCCATGAGTTCTGTTAGCAACAGCGCACTTAACATTAGAATACAGCAAAACCAACGAAAATATGTTGCGAATAGTCTTTGCTCAGTTAGAAACAAGTTCAAGTAAAAAAATTCGCTTAGTTATACCTTTCATGAGCATGAAATGGTTTTATCAATTGGTCCGATGTCTGTAGGTATCAGAAAAAGAAGAGATAGACCCATAAAAAGGTATCCATGTATGTATACTGATAACACCTGGATATCCGGTTAATATCCGTTCTATTTTATTATCCGGATATCCAGTTAATATCCGTCATATTTTTTATTCGTACACCCGGTTAATATCCTTCAATTTTTTATTATTATCCTGATATTGGAAAATTCGTATATGCGTATTATTTGGATTCTAAAAAATCTGGATAGAGCTACCAGCCCTAATGTATACTAAAACAATCTCCTACGACAAACTACGAAAAACCAAAACCAGTGAATGGACATGAAAAGCTTCGAATAATTGTCGCCCTATTACCGTTGATGACCCTCGAAAATGAACAAGGACTACGCATATGCATCTAGAATGTCCGGACTCTCTGTAGAGAGGGATACCTCTATTCAATAGCTGGATATTTATCATAAAGAAATACCAGGCTGACAAGGAGCCCTAGTAGAAGCGTATGAGCACTGCCACCGTCACGATGTTAAAATTTAACGCCAGGGTGGTTAGAGAAATCATAGGTATTTGGTCATGAATTTTTATGAATGAATTCAGTTTGCGCCTAGTTTAGACTCCAAAATGAAGAAAATATAGATATCGTAATTATAACGTAAAATATCGTACTCACCAAATTTTTGAAAACAGCAGTTGAAAGCAAAATAGTACTAAGAAATCGCTCGACGGTTAATGACCAAAGAAGCGACGATTAAATGTGTATGTAAGTATATGACCGCTAAAGAAGACAGACACAAAACATCAGCAAAAACAAATTTGAATATTAAAAGGCATTGAGTTGAAGAAATTGAATGTAAATAAACTTTTAATCATATGCAATTACGCTAAAAATGTTGTTGCTGTTTTTGTTGCAAATTTGCAATTTTTATACACTTCACTGAGAGTTAACTTTGTCTATCTACAATATACAAGAGACATGCATGTATTGCGTATAAATATGCATTTGTATGTATGTATGTATATGTATGTGTCAAGAACACTTTTTAGCAGTAGGAAAAGAAGAACCGCGTCAGCAGTTTTATTAATGTTTTTTTTAATTTTTGAGTTGTCGCGCTTTTGTTTGCACAATTTATTAAGATTTTTATAGAAAAATAGAATTTTTTGTAGTTCACAAAATAGGTTTTTTTGTAGTTCACTTTTTTAAGTAAATATTTCACGATAAATTACGAATTAAAAATATTTAGTAACTGTTAACGCACAAATAATTTAATTTTTTAATTTTCTTACTATTTTTCCGACTAGAATGGTTTTCACAGCACTGCGCTATAAAAGTTATCAACTTTTTCCTTCTCTCGACTAATTAGCAAAAGATACGTCCTTTTTCAATAGAAAATCGTTGTGTGGAATACAAAAAAAAAAAAAACAAAGAAAGAATATCGCTTTCATTTATACCGCCGTTCTCACGCG